CCGCGATCACACCCCTCCTCCGGCCAGACCAGCCAAGCGGGAATCCGGGAAGAGCAGGGAGAAATTGTGGAAGGTGCCTGGAATTGCCTTGCCAAGAGCTGCCTTCCCGCCCCGCTCGGAGCGCGGGCAGCCGCTGGGCTCATTTTTTTATTCCTCTTTTTCCAGCATTACCTTTTTCCCCGCCGGACTCGTGCTGCCCACGTGAGCCGCGCGCCGGCTCCGACCCACTTCCCTGCTTAGCTCGCTTCGCCCCTGGAGAATTGGATTCTATTTTCTTTCCTCTTGAAAAAAAGAAAAAAGAAAAACCCCAAACCTATATTAACCTGGCTCAATAGGAGGCATTTTCCTGAACTTATTAAAAAATCCAGACTTGTAAATTAATTTGTTCGTGTTGTACAATGGCAGTGCAGATGGACTCATTAGCATGCACACAACAAATAATTATAGATGAATTTTTAGCTGGCCTGCTTAATGGGCTTGCTGGGTTAATTATGTCAATGTATAATTACAGCAGCCCTGGGAGACATAACGGCGCACCCCGCCGCGCTGCGCGGGCTAATGACGGGGTAACGCGGCGGAGCAGCTCTGCACCGGGGGACACCGGCCTCATGGGGTGGCCACCGAGCTCATGGGGTGACCACCAGGGTCCTGGGGTTGCCCCTGGGGTCCCAAGGTGGCCACCACTACGGTGGTTCTGTTGTGGTCACCGGGGTCCCGGGGTGGCCACCAGGGTGCTGATGTGACCATGGGGGTCCTGGAGTGGCCACCAGGGTGCTGGAGTGACTAGCAAGGTGCTGGGGTGGTCCCTGGGGTCCCAAGGTGGCCACCATCATGATGGTCCGGTTGCGACCACTGGGGTTGTGGGGTGGCTACTGGGGTCCCAGGGCATTGGGGATTTCAGGATGGTCACCATGGTCCTGGGATGGCTGATGATGTGGAGGTCCCAGTGTGGCTGCTCTGCTGGTCCTGTGGTGGCCACTGCCACAACAGTCTTGGGGTGGCCACTGGGCTGACAGGGCGGCCACCACCACAAGAGTCTCAGGGTGGCCACTGGAGTCCAGGGCTGTCAGGGTGGCCACAGGGTGTCAGGGTGGCCACTGCAGGTCCCAAAGTGACCACCACCATGAGGATCCCAGAATGACAACTGGTCCATAGGGACCCGGGATGATTTTGGCCCGGCAAGGGCAGGTGGGCAAGGGCCGTCCGTGCCCATCCCGGCCCCTCACCAGCTCCCTGCTCCTTCCCGCAGACCCCGCGCCGGTGCTGGAGGCCGCG